AATGCTGGTGGCCTAGAGGAGGTGAAGGATCCATGTCGTCAACGGCCCTGTGTTTAGTCTTGCAGTCCGTTTCGTGCCAAGGTCTTCAGAACCAGAAAGCAAAAATAAAAATGCGAAGCTCTGATCCGATGTCTTGAAACACTTTAGCAAATGCTGCGGACAGCGCCACATCTGGACAAACTTAAGCGCTCTCTTGCGCCAACGCGCACAGGTCATGTTAATGTGAACAGTAAACGGCATCATTCAGAACCACTTCATGTCATGCAACTGGATCTTCTCTCTTTGCTGTTGTCCAATGCGACCAGGCAGTCCCTTCAGGACTGAAGCTGGCACCTGTACACCCGAGAGCGGGAACCCAAATTGAAAGCAGTCTGCTTCCTCTGCAACGTCAACTCCATGCGGGTGATTGGCGGCTCTTGAATCAGGGGAAAATCCCGTCTTGTTGGACTCGGCTAGGTCAGAACATGGTCGCGTAGCAAAACCTCCTCTATGGCAAGCTTCTCTGCCCATGACATTTGGAAGGGGGCGTTCCTCATCTATTGGATTCTTTTGACCCTTCTGCGCCGAAGCCACGCACTTTGGGCCGCTCCATGCTCAGAATGCTGGCTGTTGGCTTTGGACCTGCCCGGGCACTGCTGGTGTTCGCGCGGAGTATTTTCTGACACACACAAGCGCGGCGTGAGCGTGTAAAGTTTATTCCTGAATCATGTCTGGGCATGAAAGGTGAACTTGGATTTACTTAAGGAACCGGGAAAAGTCTCCAGAAGGGGGATTCATCCATAGGGTGAAAGCAAAACATACTGTGACCTTCAGGATAACTAGGCGAACGTAACACATGAAACAGCCAAAACATTGCAACACCCAAATGGTCACCTGGCACAAACCTGACCAGGAAGACGGACCTACAGCAACATATGACTGCACGATGAACATTACTATTACTAGCAACGAGGAATAAAAGGACCGGATAACCCCACATGTTAAGGTTGTGAGAACTAGCAACGAGAAGTAGAGACTGAGACGGTAAAAGTGAATGAGATGAGTGACGCGTGATGAGTGGTGTGTGATGAGTCGTGTGTGATGAGTGGTGTGTGAAGAGTGGTGTGTGATGTGCTACAGCCACTTCAAGACAATCCCAAGAACACGTACTGAGCTCCAAACCTTGCTGACATCGTCATGATAGTGCGCACCACCGAAACGGCTGCAATGCCACAGAAAGAGAAGACTGATAAGAAGGACGGAAAGATACTGGACGATCAAAGTGGATGAGATGAGTGGTGTGTGACGAGTGGTGTAAGATGAGTAGTGTGTGACGAGTGGTGTGTGAAGAGTGGCGTGTGATGAGTGGTGTGTGATGCGTGGTGCCTCCCTTTCGACTTCGCTGCAGTTCACACGTGCGCTGCTGTACATATGCGGCAGTCACAGGCAATGTCGAGGCACTGCCATGCAATTAGTTCACCAAGCGCTGTGCCTGCCACACAAACGGGCGCCGGCCCAGTGGCGACCACGCGCTCCGGGAGGCTCTGTGTGCTGCGCCTGCTGGCATCAACAAAATGCTGTCAGCCTCCAGGTCCAGATTGACCAAAATCTCACAGCTGCCCTGCAAGGTCAAAGTCTGGCGTCCGTAAGTCTTTAGAATCGCCCACTGCACCAATGCCCCAGTTTGTCATCACCGCAAGTTTGTGGACAGCGCTTGCTTCTCTATTGGTTCTGGTTGTCTTTCCGCCCTGGCAGATCCCCTGAAGAGTTCGACCGCGTGCAAGACTTCCACGAGCAGAATGCAAACATCATGCGTGCTTGACTGCGCAATGTGGAGGCCCGAGGGTCTCGGCGGCGCCAAGTTGTCTTGTCGAAATGATAGAAGTGGTGCTTTGTGTTTGCAATAAGGAGAAAAACAATCTCGAGAAAAGGGGCCGCATACTTCGTATATAATTACACAGGATGAGTTTACGCAGGAAGATGCGGGAAAAGTATCGTACGTTGACTTGGCCCTTACACGAAGCTCGACTGGACAAGCTCTGCGTAAGGACCGTGGACTTTCGCGGAGCACGGGGGCAAAAACGCGAACACCGAACGACGTTGAGTTTTATCCTCCCTGTGAGGGCCCCGGACTTTGCCGGGGTCCTTACGCAATCGCCGCTGCGTTAGCGCACCCGCCGTACTTGGCCCCAGGAGTTTCAGCGTTTGATAGGAGTTTCCTGGTGTGAGAACAGCGTCGAAGCAAAAGATATATCGCGATATATCGAGTGATTTGCAAAGCATTGGGTCATTCGGAGTTGGGCAGACTTGATGAAGATGTGGCCGGGAGAGGCCGTGCCCAAGCTACGACAGGGCTGCAACGACAGCAGGGGCCTTGTGTCTCTTCATGAGAGGCACTGCATTGCATTCTCACGCCCACGGGCATGTGTGTTGGAATTCGTTTGGAGGCTCCTTGGATAGGAGCAAAGACGGACAAACTTCATGAAATATGCTGTCAAAACGTTGGGATACCACTGCTACACGCGAGTCCTGACCAGGAAGCATTGTGGGTTGCCTCAGTCCAGGCCTCGAGTTTACATTGTCGCCATGCAGGCCGATTCCCAGCGCAATGCGTTCAAATGGCAAAAGAAAATTGAATTGCCCAACAAAGCCCTAAGCATTGCTTGGACTCGGACACCAGCGAAGTGGGTCAGGAGGTGTTACCATTGCCCCTTATGAAGCGAAATATGGCATGGACAACGTTCCGCAGAAGGGGTGCATCCTAGTCCTAGACGTGCGCGCGCGCGGCTACTGCGTCCCAAAGTTGAAAAGGCGGCTGCAAGTCGCAAAACTTTGGAATCTTCAGGTGTTCCGAAGAAATCGATTACGATGATGGCAAGACAAACATGTGACAAGCCTTGAACGATTCAGTGTCCATCAGCGTGATTGGAGAAAAGCGCCCCTTGCTGCTTTGTATTCGATTGGGGCGATGGGTCTGGGTAGGAAAAGCGATTAAAACTGTGGCAGTGACCTGGCGGGGACGAGCGAACCAGCGGTCTTACTATGAGGTCTGCCGTATTGAGTTTTCAGTTTGGGCAGTTGTCACTTGCTTGGACAAATGATGCTGCTCGAAAATTGGAATGGAATTCCACATCAAACTCGTAACACCACTGGCAGAATTAGGGGGCAACGCGTGAATGCAAACTTGCTGCCCGTTTTGGTACAACATATAATATGTCGCCCAAGGGGGCGAAAGCGGATTTGGCGGAGGGCGTGATGCCGAACTGGTCCAGGTGATTCCAGGTAGAGGTTTTCCAACGCAAAAACAAGGCAACTTGCAATAACCAAATATAATAGGGTCAACAAGCCGACAAACACACTTCGTCATGTGGAACTGAGTCTACGAGGCAGAGTCCGAATACAGAATTAATTATAGGATATTATAGGCAACGAGGCAACGAGAATGATATCAAGGAATTCTTTTGCCTTTTCGCCTGACCGCTGCCGAAGCTTCAAAGAGAGCTAGAAAGGCAAAAGAAAATTGCCAAGCCTAAGCAGTGAAACAACAAATAAAAGGCAATTTCTGAGGGAAATTGCAAAAAAGAGCAACTGCAAGCACCTCTGAAGAAAGCTACGGTGGACGCCACCACGAGCAGTGCTTCACATGATGTCAACTTGTTGTACTATGTTGTACTACCATGCAGCGCAAGAGGATATACGTGCTATACCGCTGAAGCATCTCGGGCCCAAGCTTGCGGAAGAAGCTGCTTTACCCATTACAGAAAATACCACGATTGGGAAGGTGGCAGCCGAGCAGCCAAGGCACGTACATGTGCGTCATCAACCTGTCTAGGTTGGACTTTGCTCGCTCGAGCTGCCCCCCGCCAGCCATCTTGATTCCTGAAAGACCTTCACTTGATGAGCCTGTCAAATCTGCCAGCAAATCGCAATTTACCCATCAAAGTTCCCCAACTGGTCGGTCAGTAAGTTGGTTGCTTTGGGGGCTTGAAAAGGTCGAAAGAATGGGGCGTGTTCGAGCCCTAAGAACACCAAAGAAAGAAAGCTGAAAGAAACACCAGCCCTGCAGGTTGAAAACTGGTTCCGCGCCACCATGCCGCTTCATGGTGGTGCTGGCTGCTGCGGGATATCCATGGTCGTGTGCGGTTTGGAGCTTGGGTGTTAGGGCCGCTGCAAGGCGCCGCTCCACTGGAACTGGGCACGTGCTGCGAGATGTCCATGGGCGTGCTCGGGGGCCACTGCAGGGCTGCTGCTGCTGCTGCTGCTGCCCACAAATATGTTTGCCATTTGGGGTCTATAATCCCGAGTACCTATTAAAAAGCACCCCCCAACGGAAACTCCTAAATACGGCGTATATATGTATTTAAATTGCCGCTGTTTAAAACCGCTACTAGACTACCAACATGGTCAACTTTGGCTGAGTTTTTTCAAAAACAACCCTAACTGCCCAGCAGGTTTTCCTTCCCCCAATGGCACGGATGCACGCAAACGCACTTGCCACCGAGGCCGCGCAAAACGGCATGGCATAGCAACATCACCTTTCGAAAGCTTTAGTTGTTAGTCTAATGAAGAATCATTATCTTAATAAAGGTTTTTGTCGAGGGAGAAGGAAACCCCTTCGATCTGGAGTTTTGATACGCGTTTAATAACGGATATTGACATTTGTATAACACTTTCCTGGGTGACTTTTCGGTTTTGAAGCTCTTCCCAGGTTTCTGCATGAAATCTGCACTTCAAGCTTCACAAAGCGCTGTGCCTGCCAGGAAATCTGCTTTTATATGTAATCAATGATTATTCACAAGGATCCTCCCCCTGACCCTATTTTGGACAACCCCTATTTCAGCCCTATCAAAAATGATTCACCCAAATTACTTACAGTAAAACAAGGGGGGGGCCCGTGCTTTTAATAAATGGAAGGGAGTACTGGCATGATTGATACAAAAATATACAGCAGCAAAAACTTCACCCAAAAATGCTCACATTGTCAGTGCCTCAAGACCTCATCCTGGAAACTCAAAGGCGTCTCATCCTCGTCCGCTCGCAACCTGGAAGCAAAAAATGCCCCTGCTTCTGACGCATTAATCCGAGCAAGTGCAGCAAGCCTGAGCCAAGCGGGTTTCTGCCAGCTTCATGCGCTCTAGATCCTCGCGCTCGATCTTGCTCAAAGCCTGAAACAAAACCAGAGTATATACAATATGAACTGGACCTGTTATATAATCCGATTCTGCCTTGTGAAAACAGGCGTGAAGTAAGCAAACATGCCACCTCATTGCGAGCACGGAGAAGTGCTTGTCGCCTGGAGCAGGTTGACAGCTCAACCTGATCTGTCCCTACATCAAATCTCTGTCAGTGACTAGTGACTACAGTATAGGAGCAGCTTGCGTTTCAATGGATCACTCCGGGCCGTAACTGTGCAAGAACTGCTTTTGCAGTCCGGGCCTGAATGATGGCAATCCATCAAAGCTGGCTTTCAGCAGTTCGTTATGCTCCACCATGCTCCTCTGTACCAGGCAAGTGTTTTGAATTGCCTGTGTGCCCAAGCTGGCATTCAGGACCTTGGCCAACCTTTTGCTCGCTCCATCACCTGAGTGACATTCGGCATCTTCAGCCTCGCCCTCGTATCTCAACAGCACCCCGATCATCCCTGATCCATTATACTTTGCAGCTGTGCTGCCACGTCAAAGCTTTGACACTTCATGATTTCCTGCTCGACCCGCTTGAAGATGCCAATGGCAATGCGGAAAAACACCTGTGACACATGCAATGCAAGTGAACACATTCCCCAAATTTGTTCAGGGTCAGGCCCCTGCACCTTGAAGCCTTCGAAAAAGAGCGTGTCCCAAACACGCAGCACAGTAGAAATGGGCAGGCTTTTGGCAAACCAGGTCAGGAACCATTCTGAGCCTGCAGCCAGGCAATGACAAGAACCAAGTTCAATGCCACAGCAACCGAATCAAGTTCCCTCGAATGGGTGTCGGGCAAATCGACAGCAAGTCGACGTGCAATCGATTTAGCTCTTTGGCCACCTTGGACGAAACATGTAGAGTCCAGCTCGGAAGCATCCATTTCAGCTTGGCAAGAAGCTGAGGGTAGCTGAGCCGGGCTCTTTTGGGCAATATGCTTGCAGGAAGGATGCTAAAACTTGCATATCTGCACGGAGTAGTACCATGCCTGCAGCCGTTACCCCAAACATGGGGATGCGGCGTGCAATTAATAAAGCATTCATTCACAAAACTGTGAGAATCCGGATCAACATCCACACTGTCTGCACTAAAGCAACGGCCAGGTACAAAAGCGCCTACCATGCTCAAGTTATCCTCTCCAAAAGGTGTTCTCTTGAAACCTTTGACCTAACATGCCCAAGCCCAAGCCTTCTGTATAGTAGCTCTCCACGCCCAAAGCATCAAATGCACAAACCAATGTCCAAAACGCCTGCTCCTAGTGCCCACAAAAAAACACTTGAGGCGACGGAGGTGGATGAAAGGTAGAGGTTGGAAGATTTTGAGCAGGAGCAAGCAGCCAGCAGCAGGAGCAGCAGCAGGATGGTGGCCATCACTTGACTTTCCAGCAATAGAGGACGGTGCAGGTTTCACCTTGGCTGCCTGCACAATACGCGGTGGAGGTTTCCTTCCTACTGGTTGAGTAGGAGCCTGCTCCATCTTAGGTGTCACTGATTTTGGTTCCTCAGCGGCTGGTATGTAGATATGCTGAACATTTTTGCCTTTCCGAATCTTACGGGTAGGTGTAGCGCCCGCTTTGACAGGGTTTCGAGTGCTTGGGATGGGGACATGTACTAATGAATTTGAGCCTTGTCAACTGTGCCCTTGCCTTTCATCAGTGCATTCATGATGCTTGTTTTCTTGCTCTGTGTGTCCACACTCATAGGCAAGAACATGCAAACTACGTCTCGAGATCGAGCGCTCAGTCATATGTTCAGCCACTTTCTTTAGCTTTAGCACTCGCTCGGGCTGCTGCCGCCAAAGAACCTTGACCTGACGATCCACTTCCGGTTCTTGAGCAGGGGGGCAGTTTAGTAGTCACATGTTTCCCTGGCGCGTCTAGGCAAGGGACAGCATCATAGACACCATACTTTTTCAGTCGGTCAAGCTCCTTACCGCTCTCTTCTGTCCACTTCTGGTCAGTCCACTGTCCGGATGACCACTAGTCCCGGCAAGGGTTGCCCATGGTTGCCCAAGCTCTCTTCGGGCTACAGTATTCACATCCGCATGACTGTCAACAAGAAGTTGAAGCACATCGGGGCCTCCCTTGGTCCCTCACGGTGATGGCAGCGGACTGCCTCGTCCAGCGATTCCCGCCTGCTTGGCGGTCGTATTTCAGCATCGTAGCCGGCAAGGTCCTTGGTTCTGGAAGGCCTCCACCAAATCCAGGTTCGATGCATCTCAAAACATCGCAAACGGGAATCATGAAGCTTCGTCGTCGGATGGTCCGACACTTTTGGACGCAGCTTCGCGTGCCCATTTTCTGGCGTCTCTCGCCCCGCTTCTTGCGCCTACTGGCTGGCAACGGCTCCATGTACAAGACCATTTCACCAAACATAGCACATCTGGCACAGGTCCTCAAAGCAAGTCTTCCCACTGGCTTTCACATGGAAGCGGTGGTGCAGCCAAGCCAAATGACGAATAAGCCACGACCAGATCAACATGGAAGAATCAAGCTCGAGCCCCTTCAGCTCCGAAGCGATGCGGATGCTGGCTGCGAACAATATGGCCCTCTCTGCGCACCCTTTGGCCTGGGAGGAGTGCACAAGGGCCTTGTGTCCCCACTGTTTCTTGACAGCGGCAATGCGGAGCTTCTTTTGTGAGGGGGGGCGAATGTCGCATATGCATGCAGGATCAGTGCTGGGAAGAACTTAGGTGATCCCTACTAGTACCCTACGACCATCTTTGTCCGAGCTAGCTGCGTCAAACCAGTCCTCAAGCGAGATTCGGCTAAGGTTAAACTAGGCTCACCTAAATACATCCAACCCGAAGTGCAGACGGTCTTTTCCATGGCCCCGGACGACGCTTCGCACCGCGGCCTTGAGCGTGCGTCAGGTCATGCAAGACCTGTTCCACGTCAAGCGGAGGAGTGCGAGTGCTGAGCTGCGGCGGGGTTCGCCCGCAACTTGGATTTGTCACCCCAAACCAGGCCACCAAGCAGCTTCAAGCGATCTTTCAGGTCGGCAACACGGCTGTTCTTGTTCAAAGACGGTGGCTCAGGAACGTCCACTGCCAGCCCTTGGCACCTTCTTGTCTGGGCCCTTCGTTTGGAACTCTCTGGTCGCAAGCCATCCGGCTCCAAGCACAAGCTCCGATGCTAGCTCCTCCAGTCCAAACCTTTCTGGACGGAACAGCTCATCCCTGGGATGAATGTGGTGTCTTGTCACTTTTCGCTTGTCTGCGGAGACTTCCAAATGGTTTTCCTCTTTAACTCCAGCGACGAAAGTCCACCCATCCTGTGCCACCATGGAGGCATGCCAACAATTGCGCCAGTTCGATTGTGATGGTTTGCCTGCCTTTGGTCGTCCGTCTTTCCAGTACCCTTTCCTTTGGCTTGCTATTCTTCCTTCCTGGCTTTCTTCTTCTGACAGGCATGGCCGTTTTTCAGTTGTCAGCTTTTCGTTCTTCTTCGATGTGGCACCTTCACGCTCTGCAGTCTCCTCAAACAACTGGGACCTTGGATGAAGGAGGTGACCGGGCGCGAGGCCGTTTGGAAGGAAGTGGACTTGGTGAAGATGGCGAAGGCTCAGGAAGAAGAAGACTGGGAAGATTGAGGCCAATCAGCTGAGTTTGGGATCGGACTGCTGGATTCAGGATCGTCCTTGGCAGCTGGTTCAGCTGGGCAAGCCATGGACTTCTGGGTGAGGCTTTTGGTAAGCTTTGCTCATGGCTAATTGCATACGTCTACCTTAGGCACACTCTTGGATTGGCCCAAGGTTTCGAAAAACAGTGAGCGTGCGACAGCCGTTGGGCACCAAACCTGTCTCGGGACTTTGGTTATGCTTCTCCAGGAGTGTGTCCGTTCTACCAGCGTTCTCATGGTTTGTGCTTGGGCCGTGTTTGCGCTTCAACTGTGTGCGGGGTGTGTTGGTAGGTTGGCTTCTTACTTCTACAGGGTTGTGCCTGCTGCGTGGTGCTGGTTTGTTCGAGCCAGTCATGAAACTCGTAGAATGAGAACCGCTTGCCGCTTGAACAATTTTAGACAATGCAATTCCTACCTGTGCAGCACAAATCAAAATATAACGTATGGCTCAACAAGGGGGTGAACTCAACTGACAATTGGAAACTGGCGCGCAGGTTCTACGTCGTCAAACACGGCAAAGAAACACAAGGACCCAAACTCCAAGCAAAGACTACAAGGAGCAACTTAGTCATCTTAGTCGGGAAGGCTCACCACCTTTGGGCCTCACTAAGCCAAACATATTGTCGGTTAATGAAGCACTTTTTCTAGCAAGCTGGCCACCAGCAAAAGAATGGGATCTGACCCTGGCCACTTCAGGCAGCAAGCACCAAAAAACAAGATCAAACCCACGAACCCGAATGCAAACACGATCGAAAAACTACATATGTCCAAATGACACTCTTGTAGGACACTCTTGTGGAACACTCTTCTGGGACACTCTTGTAGGACACTCTGGTGGGTCACTCTTGTAGAACACTCTTGTGGGACACTCTTGTAGGACACTCTTGTGGGACACTCTTATAGGACACTCTTGTGGGACACTCTTCTGAGACACTCTTGTAGGACACTCTTGTGGGTCACTCTTGTGGGACAGTCTTGTGGGAAACTCTTGTGGGACACTCTTGTAGGACACTCTCGTGGGACACTCTTGTGGGACACTCTTGTAGAAAACTCTTGTAGGACACTCTTGTAGAACACTCTTGTGGGACACTCTTGTAGAAAACTCTTGTGGGACACTCTTGTGGGACACTCTTATAGGACACCCTTGTGGGACACTCTTGTGGGACACTCTTGTAGGTCACTCTTGTAGGACACTCTTGTGGGTCACTCTTGTAGGAAACTGTTGTGGGACACTCTTGTAGGACACTCTTGTGGGACACTCTTGTAGGACACTCTTGTGGGACACTCTTGTGGGACACTCTTGTAGGACACTCTTGTGGGACACTCTTGTAGGACACTCTTGTGGGACACTCTTGTAGGACACTCTTGTAGGACACTCTTGTGGGTCACCCTTGTAGGAAACTCTTGTGGGACACTCCTGTAGGACACTCTTGTGAGACACTCTTGTGGCACACTCTTGTGGGACACTCTTGTGGGACACTCTTGTGGGACACTCTT